CTTCTTTTAAAGCCCTCAGAACCACACCCCTGACCACCATTTTTAATCCATTCACTACAGCGTGGTTAATCCAATCCCCTCTTCAAGGCTCCACCTTTCAATTACCATAATAAGATTTTCCACCCTCTTAACAGTCACAGTGGGGGCTAAGCTTCTAATACATAAACTTTGAGGGACACAACTCAAGCTTCAATGAGTTTTAGGGGGACATAATTCAATCCACCATAAATAATGAATAGAACAAGTAGGTATGGAATTAACTAGTAAATAGAAGAGTTAACACTGAAACCAACTAAACCGAACAGTCATCTACTGAACATTCCACCCAACAACAGTAGAATACAGATTCTTCTCAAGTGCACAAGTAACATTTCCCAGGACAGATCATATAATAGGCCAAAAAACAAGTCTTAGCAAATTGAAATGAATTAAAAACATACAATGTATGTTCTCTGATTCCAGTGGAATTACATTATTAATCAACAAAAAGGAAATTTGGGGAATTCACCAATATGTGGATATTAAACAACATTTTCCTTAATATAACCAAAGTGACAAAATAGAAATCTCAAGGAAGTTAGAAGATATTCTGAGACAAATACGAACAAAAATAAAACATATGAACAAAATCAAAACATACATATACAGAGCTAAAGCAGTGCTTATAGGGAACTTTTTGGCTGTAAATGCCTATATTAAAAAAAGAATATCTTAAATCTATAACCTAGCCTTCCACTTTAAGACACTACAAAAAGTAGAGGAGACTGACTCACTAACTCAAAAAAAGCAGAAGGGAGAAACAATAAAAAGTAGAGCAGAATATTGAATATAATAATTATCCTGATTTGAGAATTACATATTGCACACAGGTATGATATTCAACTATGTACCCCATAGATATGTACAATCATTTCAATAAAAAGAAAAAGAAAATAATTGTTCTCTTTTAACTAAAAACAGAGAGAAAGAAAAAGATTAGAGCAGAAATAAATGAAATATAGAATAAAAAAAGGAAATAAACAAAACTAGAAGTTGGTTCTTGGAAGATCAGCAGGTTGACACACTTTGAGCTAGAATGACTAAGAAAAAAGAAAAATCTCAAATTACTAAAATTAGGAATGAGAGAGAAGACATTGCTTCCAAACTTAAAAAAATAGGAAAGACAATAAGAGAATCACATGAGCAATTGTGTGCCAACAAATTATGTAGATAGAGTGAACAAATACCTAGAATGACACAAATTACTGAAATTGCCTGAAGAATAAGTAATCTGAGTAGACCTATAACTAGCAAGGATATGGACTTAGCAGTTTTAAATCATCCAACAAAGGAAAGCCCAGAACAAACATTTAAGGAAGAATTAATACAAATCCTCTAAAAACTATTCCAAATAATTTTTAAAATGAAGTAACATTTCCTAACCCATTCATTGAGGCCAATATTATCTCAGTAACAAAACTAGTCAAAGATATTACCAGAAAACTATAGACCAATGTACCTAATGAATATCAACTCAAAAATCCTCCATAACACATGACAAATTGAATCTATCAGTGTGTAGAAATGATTACACACCATGAACAAGTAAAATTTGTTGCAGGAATCAAGAATAGTTTAACATCCAATAATCAACCAATATAATATAACATAATAATAGAATACAGAATAAAAACTATGTGATTATTTCAATAGATGCATAAAAAGCATTTGACAAAAGCCAACATCCTTTTATCTTAAAGTCACCGGGCTGAGCCTGTGGCGCACTAGGGAGAGTGCAGCACTGGGAGCGCAGCAGCACTCCCACCACGGGTTCGGATCCTATATAGGGATGACCGGTACACTCCCCAGCGCTCACTGGCTGAGCACGGTGCTACTGGTCTCAAAAAGGACAGAAAAAAAAAAAA